ATTTAATGCACACGCCAAACCTAATGCAAACGTGTGTCCAGCAAAAGACATTAACTAATACACATGTACTCACACACACACACACACCAACCAACCAAAACAAACACACGCACACACCAACCAAAACACACACACACACCCCAACCAAAACACACACAAAAACTATTGCCCATATATCAAAATACATACACATAACACAGACACACTCAACACACAAAAAATGCACACACATAACTAGTGCATACCTAACACACACAGAAACACCAATACTAATGAATGCAAACATACCAAAACACACTCAATCACCAAAACTAACACCCACTCATTCTCTCACTAAATTTTCTGCTTTGCTCATGTGAAAAAAAAAAAAAAAAAACAGTAATGTGTATTAGTATATTTATAATTTTTTATGCGCAAGAACAGACAATTCATGCCACGAATGAAGATGCGTATTTGCAGGTATCAAAGTAATGTACATTTACTAATATACAGTCAATGTCTTGATATAGATATTGTGTATGAGCATGCTGACATCTCAGCCAATATACATGGCAATTGAAAATGGATGAAAATAACCTTGCCAAACATGCTTGGTTATCATCAATATTCAATGAGAATGATTTATTGTGATAGGCTTGGAAATACTTTGATGTGCAGTCATATTATCCTCATAAATTACTAAACTGGCTTTCTCTATTATTAATTTAAAATTATATGTGGGTGTTTATATATATATATATATATATACACACACACACTCCTGACCAAAAATTTAAGACCACTTGAAAATTTTTTTTAAAAAGACTGTTTTTAATGGAAAATACATTTCTTATGGTTACATGGACAAAAAGTCAACAAATCCAAACATTTTATTGAGGAATTGACATTTTTATAAAATGAGGCATTTTACACTTGATCAAAACTATAAGATCAGAGACAAAAATTCTACGAAATTGTATGAAAAGTGTACGAAAACATTCAATAACCAAATTTAATAATGAATCCTACTTCCACTGGTTTTGATGACTTCAAAAATTCTTTGGGTCATGCTAGAAATTAGTGTTTCCATTAAGCTGCGAGGAATATTGCTCCAGCTTCTGAAGATAGCTTCACAAAAGTTCATTTTTTATTGAATATTGTTTGCCATTTCAATAAACATCTCTTGCCATCCATCCCCAAACATTTTCAATTGGGTTCAAGTCAGGTGAGCATGCAGAATGTCTCAAGAGATGGACCCCATTTTCTTGTAGAAAGGTCAACATCTGGCATGCAGCGTGGATTGCAGCATTATCCTGTTGGAATAACTATCCATCCCCACACAAATGATGACCCTCCGTCACCAACGATGCTTTTTGTAGCATGCTAACATAACCAGCTGATGTCTGACGACTCTGCACCCACCTGGAGCTCCATCGTCCCTCTGTAAGAAAATGCACCCCATACCATTAGGGACCCTCCATCACTATGATGTGTGGAGAAAATTTCAGGAGGCATGTTTTTGTTATGCCAATATCATTGGAAGCCATCAGGACCATCTAGATTGAATTTTTTCTCATCAGAAAACGGAACTTTCTTCCACTTCTCAATGTCCCATGTTTGGTATTCATGACCAAAACTTAAATGGTTCCCTTTGTGATGTGGAAGCAACTGAGGAATTTGTTTGCACTTTTTATTTACCATGCCTTTTTGTCGTAAGTGTCGTCTGATAGTTACTGGACTGCAATCAGCATCTGTGGCTGCCTTAATTTGACTAGAAGAAAGTTCACTGGCTTTCACAACAACCCATCTTATTCTCCTACTCAATGCCAGAGAAATTTTTTTGGGCCTACCAGTAGACATTGCATTTCCATAATTCGTACTGTCCTTTAGAAAATTGCAAATCACAGTTTTACTGCGATTTACCTTAGCTATCATCGCCCAGACAAACCTTGATTATGGAAATCTAGAATTGAGCATGCTCAACTTCAGTAAGTTTGCTTGCTTTAGGCATGGTGACACCTTTACTCAGTGATTGCTAATCTCTAACTGAACTAAAAACATTGGAATTACCCTAGATCTAACAATTTATACCCCCTGGTCTTATAAGTTTGATCAAGTGTAAAAGGCCTCATTTTATAAAAAATGTCCCTTTCTGAATAAATTGATCAGATTATAACTTTGTCTACATAACCTTTTAGATTATAGAATTAGTAACCTTAAGTAAGAAAAAGTTTATAATGTATCCATCACATCATTGTTAGTGTCTTATATAAATTTTTCAAGGGGGTCTTAAATTTTTGATCAGGAGTGTGAGTGTGTGTATATATATATATATATATATATATATATATATATTACACACAAGGTAAGATAACTTCAAATGACAATAATCTACAATCTAATTAATCCTTCCAAAACAGAATTTGGTTTAATTTTAAAAAATATACTTAAAAGAATAATACAGACTGTACAAGGAACCTATTACAATCTTTGGAAAGATTCTTCAGATACTATAAAATAGTGCCAGAATATTAAAAATAAAAATAAGGCTACTTTTATCCATTTTGATATCACAGACTTCTACACCTCCATTTCAAAAGATCTATTATTAAAAAGTTTCAGTTTTGCTAAAAACTATATAACCATTAGTGGTGATGAATTTGAAGTTATCTTAGCTTCTAGACAATCTTTACTAATATATAACAATACTACTTGGGTTAAAATTCTTCATGATAACTTTGACATTCCTAGGGATGCATATGACTTTTTATTTTAATTTTTTTTTTTTTTTTTCTTGCTTCCTTTTTATTATTAAAACGTTTTCCATTTTTTTCTTCTTTTCCCTATGTACATTTTTTCTCTCTCTCTTTTTACCCACACATCTGTCTGGATGGATTGATTCCATTTCTAAAAAAACTCAGTATGAGGAGATGAATATTAAAATATTCATGAAATAATTTACAGCTGAGATGGGTTTTTTTTTTAAGGTTTCTCTCTCTCTCTCTCTATATATATATATATATATATATATATATATATAATGTGTGTGTGTATATATATATATATATAATTTCTATATGTTATATATAAAGTACAGTGTGTTTGTGCATGTGTGTGTCCAAGCGACTCTTCCACTCCCACTGGTCCAATTTCAATGATTCATAGCTCATTCAAAAGCTCTAAAAAAATTAGGCGCAGGGAACAATTTTTGTTGAGCTTAGATTCAGGGTTGCCAGAATATACAAGATGAAAAATATATATTAATATATTATACTAGCCATCATTGTTGCTTTCATGGTTCAAAGGGAGTAACTGATTTTCCTTTTGTATCCAAATTTTATTTTTATATTTTATTTTAATTTCATGGGAGACAGAATAGGGGACAATTAATACGATAAAATTAATATAGTTTAAAGATGGGAAAATAGAAATTAGAATTAGTTATACATTCAACATTTGAAGAGTTAGAGAAACATAACAGCTAATTAAGTAAAACCTGTATTATGGAGTCTATATGAATAAATGTGAAATTGGGGCTCAATTCTCCCTCGATTTCTAAGATTAAAAAGCCCCAGCTCTACTTCATAATAATTTGGTATTTACTCGATGCCCCACAAAGTTGCATTGTGAAACAAGATCAGTTTAATGCAGGGAGCCCAAGCACATACATCCAAGCTAGGAACCAAAATTCCCCGAGCCCCTGCAACCGTCGGTTGTACTGACCACAGTATAATTTTCCTCAGTTGCGACTGTCATTTGACAGAGACACACCTGAGTGCACACTGCCCAAAGACTGACACACAACTGAGAAATGATAAATAAACATGTTACAAACTACTTTCTAGTAATTTGTATTTACTCACTGGGTTAGGAACAAAATTTGCCCAAGCCCCCACAAACCCTGCTTGTGTTTAGTGGAGATATTTTAATGTTGTGCCTATCCCCAATAATGTCTCCATTTGATTTTTCAACTTCAACCACAAGATATATTTTTTTGAAAGTCTTTGCAGTCATTCTGAATGGTGATTATCTTGACAGCATCAGTAAACCTGGGAATTCAGACAAGCCTTGTTTATTTTCATTATCCAAAAGGAGTGTCAACATGTAGTCACTTGTGTGGTTTATTACATATTTCTTCAATAACTTTCATTGACCATTTTCTTCACCCAACTCAGAGCCAAATGAATTTTCCACCTTGACATTTTGAAAAATGTCAGGGTGGGAAATTCATTTGCCTTGACAGGACAGTGATACACAAACAATACACTTTCATTCGAAGAACTCTCCAAGCAGTTGCAAATCATAAGCTACTCTATCCAAGTTTTTATCTAACATCAGGTGTTTTACAGCCATGTCAAAGATTAAAGTTTTTTGATCACACACATTTATATATATATATATATATATATATATATATATATATATGTGTGTGTGTTTATATAAGTATTAAGGCTTGGCCTACCTACCAAATTGTTTTGTTCAGGCTTCTTTGACAACCTGTTAAGTTCAAGTAAGGGCCAAAGTATTTCACTTTAATGATCAGTCAGCCACCCAAATCCTGTTACCACCTACAACTAACAGGTAACTACTTTTGGAGAGCTTTTTGCCCCTCTGCATAAGATACAGATGGTATATTCTAAGCTGCACAAACAGGACACATAAGTTTTTTTTTTAAATAAGAACAAATAGACAAAAATTACTCAGGTGTTTATTCCTGAAACACCCACTATCATGAACAATGATTCATGCCATCATAAAATAAACAGCCTCACTGGTTTTCATACTGATTTAACAAATATCAGAACATAACTGACATAGGTCTAAGCATTTCCATAATGTAAAGATACAGTGGTACCATTACCCTTACATACTTCTATCCCATCACTTTTGGCATGTTAGTGAAGAATTTGGTTTGGCAATTCCATTTCCTTTTGATACCTTCTATATCTCATTGCACCACCATATAACAGTAAAATAACAACATTTACAATAAATTCACATGAAAATACCAGTGAACTTACCATTTTTACTTATGTCGAGATCGTCTAAATTGATGAGACTTCCAATTGCAGCAGGAATACTTGTGATTTCATTGTCGGAAAGACTGAGTTTATGCAAGCCATGACAATAGAATAACTCCTGAAAGAATAAAATAGTAATAATATGACAAGTAATACAAGTTTTTCAATTTCAAATAAGAGTATATATATATATATATATATATATATATATATATATACACACACACATTGGTTTCTTTTAAAAGCAGTTCATGATACAAAATGATGAGGTAACAACATTATCAGTTTATTGATTACACATCTTAATTTGTATTTAAAGATAGTAAAAAAAGGTTTATTGTTCTACTGGGTTTCATAATTGACACATTGCATTAAAATTTGAAGTAACAGCTTTATATATATATATATATATATATATATATATATATATATATATATATATATTAAGCTGTTACTATATATATATATATTATACATACTTATTTCTTTCTCACATTTATTTCAAAATACATAATGGTAGCAAATCAACATACATCTGTTTATTTACCATCAAGTCATGTGACACATAGCCTCTTCACCTTTCACATAGTTGTTTATAAAAGACTTCTAATGTAGTGAATTGTATAAATGTTTTATGTCTATTTGAATTTATTTAATGTTATAATGTATTATGAATGTTTATTATCATATAATAGATGGAATATAATATACAAATTTTTGTTTATACATGCAATTTAATATAAGAATATTTATTGAAAATAAATACTAACTTTCATATTAAAAATGCTAGAAATACAGCCCTAGCTCAAGAACTTCTCTCATTTCAATAAAATTTGGCACTGTACTTGGCATGTAAACACAATGCATGGTCATCAGCAAAAGAATGACCCCAAAGTGCAAATTACAAATTGGGGATACTAAAATCAAACAAGTACAAAAATCCTCTTGTATGGCAGTGAATGATTGACAATCTCCTCAAAGATGAAAAAGACTTGAAGCAAGAGAAATGTGATTCTAAAGAAAGATGCTGAGGATACCATGGATTGAACATGTGAGCAAAGATAAGATTTTGGAAAAAATAGAAATAAAAAGGAAACTTATACTTAACATCAGGAAGAAGCAGTTTGAAATTTCTGGGGCATCTAATAAGGGAGATGGGCTTGGAAAATCTGATACTCACTGGACAGATTGAGGGAAAGAGGGACAAATGAATGCAGCACATAACATTAATTATCTACTATATAAAATTTAAAACTGCTAACCTAAAGACCCAAATGACAGAATAAATATTACTTATGAATTTGCATGTCCCTTAAGAAATTTAAATATAGTTCTAAATCAGTCATTCTTTAACAAAACTTGTACATTATATATATATATATATATATATATATATATATACACACACTCACACACACACACACATGCACATAAACTATACATTTCACTACTGTCATCATGCCTCTAAGTTTCCATAACAATACACAAATAATTGCTTTTATGTTTTTAGGAAAATTTTTATAAAAAATGAAAATAACTTTTTTTATTTTTTTCGTATTAAAAAGATTTAACATAAACCTTCGTTCTATGCACCAGGTTCTCTTTAAGACAAGAGCGATCACGTCTCTCTGCAGTTCCCTGTCTTTTGTAGCTCTTTTCCCTTTTTGCTACCTCTTCTAATCTCTGTTCTGCCAAACATTTGCACAAGCTTGTTAGGTATGTTATACATTGCTTTCCTCTGTTCCTTTTGCTTTCAATAAGTACTGTGAATGTCAAATTTTCTGACACTTCTTTCTTCATATGTCCTAGAAATTTCAACTCTTTCTGATATTAAGTGTAAGTGTCCTTTTTGTCTATTTTCTCAAAAACTTTGTCATTGCTCACATATTCAGTCCATGGTATTCTCACTATCTTTTTGTAGAATCACATTTCTGTTGCTTCAAGTTTCTTCATCTGTGAAGAGATTGCCCAGTCATCAAAGCCTTATAGTAGGACTGATATTAAATGTCAGTACAGTACACTTTTCTTTGTTTCTAACAAAATTTTCCCATTTCTTAATACTTTGCTTAGCTTTTGAAAGCCTCTTTTGCTATGCCAATGCACCTTTGGTGAAAAAGTATTTCTTTGATACAGGTTTCTATAGAACATAATTGAACTGAATGTAAGTTCAATCTGCTTCTCATTTTTTTTATCATAATATAAATAAGCTGGTCATGAACTGTACTTGTTTGTATCAAGAAGCTTGTCATGAACTGTTCTTGGCAATCACTAGATACATATTTGTACCCATTTGTGTAGTGGAGTTGAAATCAGAAGCAATTCTTGTAATTCTGAATTGGGAGTCAGTAAAAAGTCCTGTTTAAATTTCAATATAAAGATTAAAATTTCCTATTTGATTTTATCAGTTTTTCAGCTTTCATGATATATTTTGAAAATATAACATTTTTATATTTCTCTTGTAGATCACTAAAAAAAAAAAGACAAAGAAAGTGTCAACAAAGTTGGATGTATTTTAACACTTTAAATTAACAGAGAGATGGTGTCATGTTCATATCAGACACAATGATTGTTTAACAGAAACAAAAAAAAAATCTGATGCAAAAATTAGTAGTTTTAGTGATTTTGATAAAATTGAATTGACAAGAGCATCAAATAATAACACTTGCAGCATTTATATCTTAAAGTGTTAGAAGCTGTGTATGAAAATATTTCATTTACTTAAAGACTAAAGAAAAAATCAGAAATCTCCAAAAGACCAAATACAATAACACACACACACATTATATATATATATATATATATATATATATATATATGTCACAAAGTTAGCGTAACAATGACATCACTGAAAAACCACTGAAGTGAAGAACAGTGTACTTTTATTTTTTTCCACAATCAGCCATTTAAAGATTAAATGGCTAAACAGCTCAGAAACTTGAAGTTTCTCTGTAAATAAATACATAAAAAAATAGGCATTAAGAGAGACCAAAAGTAAGAGAAAAGAAGTTCAATAAAGTCTAAAGGAATACAGTCTGTTATTAAAATGTTGGCATACATGTACATTATTAATTATTTAATTGCTACCATATTTTCTTGTGCATAATACAAGAAATGTTGAAAAATTAAAGGCAAAAAAGGGAAGTTGTATTAGAGAGAAATTTTCAGAAATTTTTAATCCATTTAAAAACCTGCTATTTGAAAGAGCAAAATTGCAAATACACTCAGCACAATAGATAATAAAGCACAAAGTAGGCAGGTGTTGATAACAATTGTTTACAATACGTTGGCAATCTTTGTTTCTCTTCATTCTTAATGAATGACTGTTTTTTGTAGTTTATTAATATATAGAAATACAATAAAGTCATATCAAACAGAAAAGTACGATAGATTAATTAACACCTTAAAATGTATTACCAGGTAAGTCTAGTCATCATCTTTCCCAAAAAACTTAAAAATAAGTTTTGAAATGGAAATTAGGAGACAAAACACACAGTGACTAAACATCTGTTTTATTCCTATTTTTTAATATTGTAAAAAATTAAATATTTTAGAATATATATTTTAAATTTTTTTTAATATGTATGACATTAAAATTTTAATGGATAATATGGTAAAACTTTTTTTTAAAAAATTCACATTGGGATGATTGTATTATGAGCTTATGTTATACTCAAAGATATAATTTATTGCTTGTTGTTAGCTTCAGAAACATGGGTAGGGGGATCATATAATTCACAAAAAATACTGTAATGCTAAATTTATTGATAAAAACAAAGTGATAACTTGGATATTGGTATTAAAAGACTCTAAGGCATATCATAGCTGCAGCATACACCTTCAGATGTTAGATGTCTTAGAAGTTTTTGACATTAAAAAGGTTATTCATTTTAACAAATAATGTTTCAAATATGTTAAGTACAATTGCGGATAAAGTCAACGAGAACATATGAATATTGGATGGCAATGACAGTTCTTCAGGTAATCCACAAAGAAAAATGACGAATTAAATTTTAGATTTATTTTTAAACAATATCATTTAAGCTAATTACAATTTAATATAAGAACTGTGTTGTTCATATTCTGCAACTAAGTATAAGAAAGACACTGAAACATCATGAAGTTATTCCCATTGGAAACTTGAGGCAACTACAGCAACCAAAATGTCATTTTGGATCAAGCAACATATTGGTGAAGCACTAATTTGATAAAATGTTTGCTGGAACTGAAGGACTTTCTCATAGATCTAGAAAACAAAACTAGATGAAAGCCAGCAGAAATTAGTAACCAAGATGAAAGTTTACTTTTGTGAAAATATCACCAGGTCTTCCAAGCAGTTTGTCACTGACTGATCAGCTTTTCATCCCATGCCATGGTTCAATTCATTTATGTGAGAAAAAAGAAAAACTGGCAAAGACCCAATGTATGTTCAAATTTAAGATATTGCAAAGATAGAAAAGTCTTTAACATGAACATCTCAAGGTATTGCTTTAGTGAGAAAAACAAGAAGTCTGTTGACACCAATAAACTAAGTATTATTTCTGTTATGGATCAGTTCACCTGGCACTGTCTGAGAGTAGATAAATGTCTCTTGGGACATCTTTGTTGCTACTTGTCTTCTCTCACAAAGAATTCTTCCCTCCAGCCAGCAAGAACTGTGGTGGTAAAGCAACGACTCAACTGATAGTAGCAGATAGGAAATGCGAGGAGGGTAACCGACAAAATAGTGTCACACGTCCAACCTTCTCACGAGCAAAAACACAGTCCTCAGAAACAAAAACGCGCCTGCTTTATACAGCTGAGGACCAACCATGATTTGCATGTGAATGACGTTTCTGAGGTAGGCCATTTTCATAATTTTCCCCACACTCTCTCCTGATCTCATGATCACAAACAGGGCAAGGAGGTGGCGATCATCAAGGGCGACAACACAAGCTTCATCCTCATGTGTGCTCTCATCTGTGGTTTGAGTGTCGGTAAACACTGTGTCCGCCGGGAGGCTGCTGATATCGGAATCACTGCCCTGCAGGTCTAATTCCAAGCAGATCGAACGCTCACTACGCTCAGACTTGGAATCGCTTTCATCGCTCAGTAACAGTAGTGGTTGCATCACCAGTTGCA